GTGAATGTAGGTTGTACATTTAATCCACTTTCTTTCATTGTTTCTGACTCAACAACTTCTATACTGTTCAATTTTTCATTGAATTTACATGAACCTGTTTATTGGTAAAATTCTGCAGTAACAGTAGGTGATTGCCATCTCGCGTGGTTTTTAAATTTGAGGAAATTGGTACTGGAAAGTCCTTGACAGATCCTTGAATTTGATGTTGACCAAGATGTGGGAACCCTGACAGACTTATCATAAACAATGTAATGATATTATTGATCTCATGGATATGGTGGTGGTTTCTCTCACCTTTAYCAAACCATAATTGTTTCTCTCAATGAAACCAGCTCCTAAGAAAATATAAATTTGGTGATTCCTCCATGCACACGATTCAAGTAAACTAGAAGGTGTTGACTGAGACACTGTGGCTCTGTGAGAATAATTGCCCACTTTGATCCAAATCCCTGTGATTCCCTAACGGCCTTCAGGGCTGCATAGTAGCATCCTTGTTCCATGGGTGGCGGTCTTCATTAGGATGACCCTCTGTGTGTCACCTTTCAATTCAGGAGTCAGCAGACAGAGGTAGAGGAGTCAAAGAGGTTGCYATTTGCCTCTCTGGCTCCTCGACTCTTATGAGACGAGAGCCAACCACGACACCCCCACCACCACCCAGACAACAGGAATGCATTGATCCTGTCACGTCTGCATTCCCTTTCCCTTCAAATCACCTCCCTGTCTCCTGGTCTTTGTGCTGTGTTCTCTTTGTCTGGTTTATTGGGGAAAATAATAATTTTTTTTCTATGTACTCCTTTATGTGACCTTGTGAGCAGCCACTTTTCTTTGTGGATGGTTTAGTTGGTTTGAGATTGCAGAATGTTGACAAATGTTAAAACTCTACCTGTCAATCGCTGATCTTTGTGCGACATGACTGGAGGTCGGAGCAACATTTCCATACAATAATTTTAATTTTGATGTTTTGTTCATTTAGGAATATATAAAACAATTATCTAAAAATTAAATGTAAATGTAGATATGCTCATTTAGTGTGCYTGAAGATGAGACAACGTGTTACAAAGCAAAAAATAATCCACACAAAACACGACAGTAGCAGTGAATAAGTCTTGTTTCCTCTTTTTTGTTTGAAGACTGTTGGGTGGGGGTGGTGACCCCAGTCTGGCTGGCTACATTGTGCGCTATGGGGGTCATTTTGGAATTTCCTGAACTCCCTTCAGGGTCTGAGATAGATTAACCAAACTGGGGGAGGCACACGTTTTGTAAAAACGTCTGTCTATTAATTGCAACTCAGTTTAAGCCTCTGTCTAGATTGTTTAACTTATGTGTTTGTGAAGCAGTGTGGAGGTGAGAGTGACATGTTAGGTGATAAATCATAAATTTCTTCTGTTCTTTGTGTCACGACCTCAGATTAAACTAATCTTATCCAGAGTTGTTGCCCTTTTATGTCGCTGGTATGTGATCTATCTTCTCACAGCATTCCCTCTGCGCTTTTCCGAGTGATCTAGTGTTAGGAAAGAATTTGACAGCTATTGTATGTAATTGTATTTTATGYGGTTTCAAATAGACCAATTTTGAGGGGAAAAAATCATAACTCCAGAGAGCTTCCTGGATCATAGTAAGAAATTATGTAAAAGAAGTGGAAAATGTAGCCATGTAAATGTCCACTAACTGTTCCTCCACCTCCTGCCCCCCCCCCCCCCACCCCCATTCATCCTCGCTACCTTGTCTCCTCATTTGTCCCCCTCTTCAGAGCGAGGACTCAGATGAGGATGAGCCTTGTGCCATCAGTGGCCGCTGGACCTTCCAGAGAGACAGCAAGCGCTGGTCCCGCATGGAGGAACTGGAGGTTTTCTCTRCATTTTCTACAGATGCTGCTCAGCCCGYGTTTGTCAAGGACCAAGCATCCCAGAAAGTCAACCCCACCCTGCGCGAATGCAACAGTTCTGAAAGCGTGCTGACAGACCTCAGTGAGCAGCCCGAGGTGAGTTCCATCCATAGCAGCGGGAGTGGAGGAAGAGGAGAGAAGAGCCACGGGGCCGCTTCGGTAAATGAAGCTCTACCTGTCGGCGCCACACGTGCCAGCTCAGTGGCCAGCATGTGCTCATCCTCAGGCACTGGAGGGTCTGGAGGCCCCAATGAAGACTCTCTTTCTGATGGGTTGCCTCCRTCACCCCTGGAGACGCTCAGACACTTCACCTTTGACGTCAAAGCAGGGGTGGTAGGAGGAAGCTTGGACCGAGGGGGCAGCAGTGGCAAAAGTACACGCTCAAGAGCTAAAAGCTTCCTGAAGAGGATGGAGAGTCTGCGGCTTCGCAGCAGCTCCTCGTCCAAGAGAAAGAAGAAGGGAAGCACCAGTGGAGGGAGACTAGAAATCAGCGGCCCTGTTGCCAAACAGGGTCTGGACGAAGACAAACTGAGGAGGCTTAACTGTGTGGACATCTCAAGCATCAACTTCAGTCACCACCGCAATCCCACTCAGACCATGACCCTAAACCGGAACCGGTCCGTGTCTTACTCCACTCAGACCAGCAATGGGAGCACTGGGAGCACTGGGAGCAGCCAGTCTGAAGCTAGTAGCGGAAGTGCCGTGAGCACGCCGAGCCCAGTGACCCGAGCTCGCAGCCACAGCACGGCAGCAGGTTCCAATAAGAGAGGAGGAATGTATCTGGAGGGGTTTGACCCTTTCAGCATTCTCCAGCATGCATCGGATCAACAGCCTCCACCACCCAAATCCGCCCCACCCGTCCCCTGCAAGGATAGTAAGGGAATGTCTGTGGATGAGCAAAACCGCAGGAACAACTGTGGCATTCGAGGCAAGAGYAGACAAGAAGAGGAGGAGGAAGAGGATGATGAGGAGGGAGGCATGATCTTCTTCTATTTGCCCGAAGGCCACAAGCCTGGAACGTTCCCCAAAGCCTTGCAGGATGGGAGTTTGCGACAACATAAAGGCAACGACAACGGAAACTCAGTGACCCTCAGGGAGCGGCAAAGTAGACGCCAGCGCTGGGCCTCTTCGGGCTCCGTGGACAGCCGTCTCAGTTTTTACGACAACGTCCCCTTCACCGAGAGAGAGGAGGCKGAGGAGGAAGAGGGGGACGAGCACAAACTGGAGGAAGTGCTGCAGCACGTCAGCGGCTTCGTCAACGCCTGGTCAGAGGCTGTGGCTGGTGAGGAGGAGGAGGAAGAGGAGGATGAAGAGGAAGAAGGGGACTCGGATTCGGCGCTGGACTCTGCGTCCCCCTGCCCGTCCTCTCCTCTGCAAAACCGGCTGGAGGAGACCGAAAAYGGAAGTGACCAGGACAGCACAGGAAACCCGCTGGGCGAAGCAGAGGACGGGATGAGGGAGAGGAGGGATTCTGGTGTGGGAGCATCGCTAACTCGAACCAGTAGGTCAGTAGAAACAAAACAATATCAAACACCCTACTCATTATTCATAATGACAGGGAATATTTCATTGTCTCCATTAATCATGTCTCCAGCAATATTGGCTCAAATTGATCCACAATCCAGTCRTAGCTATACTGTAAAAGGTGTTCCTAAATAAAGCTACTTGTTTGTAATTTAACTTTTCAGACACATTTATGCACAGAAAATCAACAGAAATACAAAAGCCTCCAGTAAAACTGTGAACTCAACAAAACGGTGACAAAGAAAGATCAACAGAGAGGGACAAGCTGAGGCTTCTCTTGTTTCATAATGGTGCTGAGTTCTTAGGAATGCTGCTTGGTCTCCGTGGGGATTGTTTCTATACTCTGGAGAATTTACCGGCAAAATTACCTTTGGTTTCTTTAAAGATAATCTCTTGATTGATGTATGCATACGTCCTTGTAATCCCTACACAGATCACTCKGCCACACACAGCATTTGTTTCGCACTGTGTGCCGTTTTCTGTGTTTGTGTGTACACAGCAGCAGAATGCAGAGCCTCTGAGTTTAGCAGCTCTTCTTTTAATGATCATTCACCCTCTGACATCTCAATCTGCACTTTYCTATTCTCCTCCGATGCGCTTCAGACCCCAGAAGCTCCGCTGGCCGAGCTTCCAGAACTCCCATCGGCCCAGCTTGGCCTCAGCTCAGCTCCAGATCAGCTGCCAGTCGGTGCTGCAGATGAATCTGCTGCAGAAACTCTCCCTTCTGCAGCTCACCGCTCTGCTGGAGAAACACACCCCGATAAACAAGCATGGCTTCAGCTGGTGAGTGGCCTGACAGAAAATAGAAGACTCGCATGAAGGGAAATAAATGTGCATGATCACCGAGGGGAAGCCTTCTTTCTTCTAACATACAGATGTTAAATTTGCTATGTAAAACAGCCTCTGCACCTGTCACATTGTTTCTCTAAGTTWTACCCCTCAAAACATCTCCATTCAGCCAGCCGCCACCCCATCTCTCAGTCCGCTCCATCTGCAAGTTGTGAAGAGCTGTGACGGCTGTCCACAGAGGTTGGGTTTCACATTCTTTTCCCAGGCCCATAATTGCTGGGAAGGGGTGCACATTGTCTCCTTCTGAACGATGTAATTATGGCAGTTCACACGCAAGGTGCTGCGCTGCAGGCTGGAAAGAGTTGCCCTCWGCTCAAACCACTTTTTACAAAGTATCTTATTAGCTACTTTATACACAGCTCACAGTTATCCATGAAAACCCAACATCTGACATGTTCCATCACTCAGACCTGCATCAACTGTGTATCTATATTTTTAGTTACTTGAAAGAAAAATATAGCAAGGCAAAAGCATTAGGTTTTTTTTTTTTTTCGTCTGCTTCTAAGTTTTCTTGATAGGTTTGTTGACATAGAGGCTCGGATCTGGAAGCGGCGCAAAATACAAGTGAAACATGAAACTTATTGTCTGTTAACCAGAGCATATATGAGTGGATATTCTTCAGATTGTTTATGCTAACAGGGTCAAAATGTGTGGTCAGCCTCTAAATCTAAAGCTTTAGGCTTTTTGTTTGTGAGAAATTAAAAGTGAAGAACTGGCTCATTTTCTCGTGTTTTCTCCGTCTTCAGCTCGAGGCCTTCCTTGTCCTGAAAGAGAAGGCGTCATTATGGTCTTATGACAGGCTCACTGAAAGACAGAGTCCGATTGTTGGCCACTCGAAGCCCGAACATATTCAGAATTCCGTCCGTGATCATAAAAAGTGTCTCTTTTTCTGTTTTTCCCAAACCGTGGTTCTTAGAAGTACTCCGAGTCTTGTGAGCAGCAGCTCTTACAAAGACACACTTGTCCCGAGTCATGCACAGAGGCCTTCACTAAACACACTCACACCCCTGCAGATAGAAACACATCCATAAATCTGTGGCTTTGTTCTTGTGAAACCAGCAGTGTTGTTGTGTGTTTCAACTTTTGGGGTTTCGTTTTTGGTTCAAGGCTCACTGAACACCAGCTCTGATGACATTAAAAACAGCCACTGATGTGTAAAGTAGTGGTTTTATCACAGTGGTTTACATCCCTCTGGTCTCCTCTCACTTTGTCCATCCTTCACTCCCATAAAACCTGCAAACAGCTCACATAAATCACATAAACACATTTTTTTAGGAACATTCTGAAGTTCTGGGGTTTGTTTTGCTGATTAATAATAACTACATCTATATTTTTTGCACATTATTTGTCGTTCTGCAAAGATGTTTTAAGTTGCAACACAGTTTCCACGTTTGTCAACCTAAAGCRTTTGACTTGTGTAAAAGCTGCAGGTTGATTGTCCTTTCCTGTGTGCACGTTGCAGGGCGGTGCCGAAGTTTATGAAGCGGATCAAAGTGCGCGACTACAAAGACAGGAACGTGTTCGGTGTGCCGCTTCAAGTCATCGTCCAGCGGACGGGTCAGCCCCTCCCTCAGGGAATTCAGCAAGCCATGCGCTATTTACGTAATCACTGTCTCGACCAGGTAAGCTTACTACATTTACCTCAAACAGATAAAAATGAAGGAAGAAGGAAGGTATATCTGCTGGATCTTGTAGAGTTTGTTAGTTTTCAAAGGGGTGCTTCGATTCTCAGCTTAAATGAAAACTTGAGGACGTTCGTTCAGTTCAGCCATATTCACTTTTTTTTTATAAAATGTTGCATAAGATGCTTTATTGTACTCACTTTGTCAATTTGTATAAAATCTGCACTTTTCCTCTCATTTTTCTGTCATGCTTTCTACAAGCAGCAGGATGAGTGCTCATGAAAATTACAAATGTTCGACTGTTATGTCACATTTATCTTTTTATTTTAGTAACAGCTCCGCAGAGCGCATCCGCACCCATAAAGGAGAGAACTGAAGAGGTAGAAAATAGCCATTAAAGGAATTCAAAATTGAAAAAGAGAATGATGGCTTTCTTCTCTTAGCAGGACAAGATGCCTCTGTTCTGAAGTGGTGAAAGCTCTTGGAAAATATTCCAACTGGACATTGAGTCCTGTTTTTTTTCCTTCCAAGTGTTTACCATTTCAGACGGCCTTAAAAGGCCAGTGACGAGTTCATATGAAGGGCTTTGTACAAGAAAGCACACTTGGTGTCATATGAGCTTCTTGCAAATCCAATCATAAGTCTGTTTATGGGATATAACCAAATTAACCATAACCCCTCAATTTATAGATKCTAGTTTAAATTAGGAGGCTAGTTAAATTAGGCTAGTTTAAATTAGGAGCTTGTTGATGTAAAAAAATCCATGTTGTGATTTGGACACGTGAATCCTTTTAGACAYGGTTTATTATTATGCTGAATTCAAGCTAGTACTGTGGCTAAAAGGTAATTTAGAGTTTATCAAAGTTTTTTGTGAATGATATATAAACATATTTTTGCTCCACCTCCTCCCAGGTGGGTCTGTTCAGGAAGTCTGGAGTTAAATCTCGCATCCAAGCCCTCCGTCAGATGAATGAGGCGAGCGGCGCTGACGGGGGAAGAGTCAACTACGAGGGCCAGTCAGCTTACGACGTCGCCGACATGCTGAAGCAGTATTTCAGAGATTTACCAGAACCTCTGCTCACAAGCAAACTGTCTGAGACCTTCCTGCAGATCTATCAGTGTAAGAATATGTCAAAGACATGCGAGGATTCTGTTTTAGGCCCTGCCAAGCCAGCCCCCCCCCAATGAGGCATATAATGTGCGTATATTGTCTTATGTAACACACTAAGTTCAGCCCAGATGCCATCATAGCTCAGTCTTGGCAGGTTAAGTGCAGCCTTACACAACTTCCTTATTGAATTAACCCGTCGATGCATAAAAGTTTGACATGAATCAGTGTGACGGTGGTTTAATCGCATTAACGCCGAGCCATCTTCTCCCGCAGACATGCCCAAAGAGCTGCGTCTCCAGGCGGCCCGCGCTGCCGTGCTGCTGCTGCCCGACGAGAACCGCGAGGCGCTGCGCACGCTGCTGTGTCTGCTCAGCGACGTGACGGCCAGCGTGGCCGAGAACCAGATGACTCCCACCAACCTGGCCGTGTGCCTGGCCCCGTCGCTGTTTCACCTCAACACCCTGCGCCGCAAGGAGAGCTCCTCTCAAAGGTGCGTCCTCTGTCCAGCGGGGGATTTTTTTATGCTTTTAACAAACGCAGGTGCTGTTGGTTCACATTATATAACACGCAGCATGCCGTACGTTTTGAAAACAGGAAGGGCTCCCTCCCAATTAAACAAAAGAGTAGGACGCTAAAGATTGAGAGCGGGGGATGAGAAAGGAGGAGGGAGAGGAAACTGAGTGGTTACATAAACATTTTAATCTAAATAAGGCAGAGAGTGTTTCCCAAATGATAGTTCTATAAAGAGGTCCATCTTTGTTTACGTTCCTCTTTYTTGCTCATGAGTGATGTTCATCTTACATCAGTTTATTTTCATCTTTGCTACAGGGTGATGAACCGGAAGCAGATGCTGGGAAAGCCTGACCAACGGGATCTGAACGAGAACCTGGCTGCCACTCACGGACTGACACACATGATCCAGGAGTGTAGGAAACTCTTCAGGGTCAGTGTTTAAAAGCTCTGGAAACCACTTTGATTTTGGTGTAATTATTTATTAAATGAGGCAAYGCGTGATTTACCTGCTGATCTCTTCATGGAAAAATGAAAAACGTTGTTTTCAAGTGTGTAAAAAAATGTCATCTCCGGCTCGCTCCACCGTGCTGCAGTCACACACCTCGTGTCCCTGTGTTTGGTGTGTAAACACACTCCCAGTTACACAACGCATCAARCCGATTCACGCTGACGTTTGTTCAAGCTAGAACACAACTGTGGTGTTTGAATGTCATAACCGACCTCCTGTTTAGGCTGTCATTGGGTTTGTTTGAACCCTAAACAGTCATTTACATTAAAGAATAAACTTCACCATGATCCATGAATCCATTCAAGTTTGGTTAACAAGAAATAACCTGCATTACATATCCCAGGCCTTGTCTCCTCATCTCTGATATGTAAAAGCTAAAAACCCACACACTGTGTCATTACCATCCCTCAAACGTTTATTAGATTGTGAAGAGCTTCCTGGTTTCCTGTCTTCATCATCGTATCATGCAAACAAATTCGATTATCTCCAAAATGATTGTCTTTAATTAGGTTTGAATTTGCTCATGGGGCCTTATAAAACAAAACATCCTCTGCAATAACTGCTTGTATTTAACTTGATTTGTGTCGGTCTTTTTAGATCTAATAAGAATCTTGGATCATCATGTTTTCTGGATTTAATTTAAAAAAGATGAATATGAATGAAGGAGATATGTAATAAGAATGAATCACAGAAAGCTGAAGCTGAGGTCAAATATTTTGATGTGCTTCTAGTTTTACATGTGGCACATGTTTGTTATTATTTATTAAATAATAACATGATAGTATCTGTTGTGTGTTTTTGTACACTAGAGGCCAGATTTAAATGATTTTGGAACATAATAAAAGATGAGAAACTCTAAAATTATAAGAAGGTGGACTTACTTTTTGCCATGCCTAAAGAATGCTAAACAGTTAATTGTTTGCTGTCATCTGATCCGTCATTTCTTCATTTGCTCACAGATTCCCGAGGAGATGAATCGCTGCAGGAACTCGTACGTGGAGCAGGCTCTGCTGCCACAAAGCTTAGAGGAGCTTGCAAGCGAAGAGGCGGACCGAGGGGGCTACAGGGCCTACCTGCAGGACAGCTTGGACACTCTCCTCAAAGAGGCCAAAGACAAGTTCAAAGGYTATGACAGCTGCTCCACGCCTGAGCACGCCGAGCTGTCCTACAGGAAGGTGAGCAATCACGTTTCAACGCATAGAAGTGATCGATTTTAGGAGCAGTTCCTACCAGGGAGAGGGGTGGAAAAAAGCACATCCATTATTCTGTCTGTAGCGMGCAAACAAGCCGTCACGTCGTTTCCTGTCTTCTTGATGTTCGCCTCCTGCTTCACTGAAAAGTGAGTGGAAAAGCAGCAGTTAGGGTTTCCTGTACAGAAACGACTCCGTGTGAAAATGGCCAGGCGCTTGGATCCTTTTTTTCCCATTCCCACTCTCTGGACTCAGTCCCAGAATGACATCAGCTCAATATTGCAACACACGCAAAYGAACAGAACTTTACCATTATCCCAGGCCTACATTTCCTGTGTGTAATGTGCAAAAGAGCCTGAAAAGAGTTATCTTTTCTCCTGTTTGAAGGTCACAAGGCAGATTAGTGTGTGTGTGTGTGTGTGTGTGTGTGTGTGTGTGTGTGTGTGTGTGTGTG